CAGTCTGATGCAGTTCAAACAGCTAGCATGGACTGTGAAGGATTCTGCTTGCTGGACTTTTTTTCATGTCAAGTTGAAAACTAATAAAATGATGATGCTTAAAAAAAAAAAAAAGAAGAAGTATTTATTGGTCCTGTGATCTTAGCACAACTATTTTGTTTGAGTTACTTTCCCCATGGGGTGCCTGGGTAGCTCAGTCGGTTAAGCATCTGACTTCAGCTGAGGTCATGATCTTATGGCTTGTGGGTTCAAGCCCCACGTCGGGTTCTGTGCTGACAGATTGGAGCTTAGAGCCTGCTTCACATTCTCTCTCTCTCTCTCTCTCTCTCTCTCTCTCTCTCTCTCTCTCTCCCTCTCTCCCTCTCTCCCTCTCTCCCTCTCTCCCTCTCTCCCTCTCTCTCTCTTTCAAAAATAAACATTTAAAAAATACTTTGAATTACTTTTCGCATATAAAATAAATTTTTGTCATTGAAATAATATATTACCTTTTGCATTTCTTTTCTCATTTTAAAATTTTATGTATTTTGTTCTGAGTGCTACATTATCTCCATAAGTATTTTTAATTACTGCATATTATCATATTGGGTGATCTAGTATTAACTGTTTGTTCCGGTTTGCAGTCGTAAATGTTGCTTTGAACATCTCTGATGCTTTCCTGTTTCATTCCTGTTAAATCTTAGAATACATTTTTCATTTCTCTATATTAAGTTAATATGTTAAAGGGCATAGGCATTTATTTTTCTTTTGATACCATTGAAATTTAAAAAGCTTCTCAGACATGGAAAAGTATGGACAGTAGTGTAATGAACTATCATTTGTCCATTACCACCTTCAGCCAGCATATGCCTAATTTAGTTTCACCGCCATCTCCCTCGTCTCTGGATTATTATGAGGGAAATCCATACTGTGTCATTCCATCTGACAGTATTACAGTAAATCTTGGTACCATTTACCCAGTTGATTCTCAGAACAGTTTGCCAGTTTGTTTGTTATTTTTAATATATTGTTTTTATTTTTAATTATGGTAAAAAAAAGTACCATAAAATTTACATTTTAAAAAACCATTTTAATTGCATAGTTCCATAGTGTTAAGTACATTCACATTGTTTGTGCAACAAATTTCCAGAATTTTTCACCTTCTGATATTGAAACTCTGTCCTCCTGACATAACAGCTTCCCATTTTCCTTCCTCCCAGCCCTGGTAACCACACTTAATACTTCCTTTTTCTGTGAATTTGGATTCTTTAGACATCTCATGTAAGTGGAATCCTAGAATATCTGTGTTTTTGTGACTGGTTTATTTCACTTAGCATTATGGTTTTTTTTCCTTTTCTTCCTTTCTTTAAAGGAGCTTTTTTTCCCCCTACTACTTCAATGATAGAATTGGAGATGTAGCCTCAGTGGGGCAGCAGAGAGGGGAATCAGTGATAGACTGTATTGAAACATTTGAAAAAGGATAATTTAAGACTGGTCCAGCTGAGGCCAGAGACCATGTACATGAGAAGAAATGCAAGTGACTAATAACAAAAAGTTCGACTTTTCTAATAAAGAAATGCAAATTGAAATGAGATACCATTTCTGCTGATCACATTGGCAAAAATGAAGATATTCTTCAGAGTAGGTAAAATTTGCCAGTTTCTAATGCCGCTAAGAAGTTCCTGAAACACTGGTTTCTCATTTGTCCTGAAAGATGCCCATTGTTGTTAGCTCTAAAAGTTTTAATACTCTCCTTGTGTCTAAAACGGATCCTCAAGTTGCTTTAGTTTACGTTTCTGTGATGACTGGCAGAAATAAACCTGGTATAATTGTTTACAAACTCGATTTCTTTGCCTGTTTATCTTGCAGTTTGTGGGTTTTTAAGCTCTAGCCTAACCATGCCATCCATGAGAGCCAGCTTCTTTGTTATTCATCCCCAGACTTAGGACTGGAGTAATCTCAGCTGTTTGTTACTGTATAGAAGAGCAGAAGTTTTGCAGAAGCGCTGGTAAAGGGAATTTCTGTAAATTGGATTCTTTACTTTCTGTTGACTTTCTTCATAATGTTGTGGAATCTGGTTCAGATAACTGGCGGAAGAACCAAATGGCATTCAGAGATCTTGGAAGGGAGGAGGTTTATTTTACACTGGTGGCCTCAGAGGAGATCATTCTCCAAAGGTCCGAGCCCAGAGCAACAGCAGAGGGAATAATTTATAGCCTATTACTTCCGGATTCTTCATTAATGTGTGCGACAAGCAGGGTGGGAAGAAGAACCCGGAAGAGGGAGCCTTTGATCAGGGACAGGTATTTCCTTATCAGTTCTGTTGTCCATTTTGTAACAGATTTTTCCCTATCAATAGAAAACGAGCCCTCTCACAGTCAGCTTCAAGGTTCTTGCTGTAGTGGGCAGAGTCAAGAAGTAGGTGGGCATTCAGCCTTAGCACTGTGCCCCACTAGCCGTGTACTCGCTGTAGAGGGGGTTGGGTTTGTGGTCATCCTCCAGTACTGTTGTCCTGATAACTAGGTTGGAGCTTCTCAGTCCCTTTGTGGACACCCCAGTGCTTGGCCAGCTTCATGACATCCTGCCTTCCATTGTCCTTAGACACCATAGTCCTGCATGGAGCAGGTTAAAGGCCTTCTCTCTCTCTCTTTTTAAAATTTTTAATGTGTATTTTTGAGAGAGAGAGAGACAGACCATGAGTGGGGGAGGAGCAGAGAGAGAGAGGGAGACACAGAATCTGAAGCAGGCTCCAGGCTGAGCTGTCGGCACAGAGCCGGATGCAGGGCTGGAAATCACAAACTGAGATCATGACCTGAGCCGCAGTCAGACGCTTAACAGACTGAGGCACCCAGGCACCCCAAGACCTTTAATGATTGGAGCCAGTGATCAATCAACCAATTAAAAAAGTATGAAGGGTGCTGTGTACATGCCATGAGTGTTCTGTTTTAACTTGCCCATGTTAGTGGACAGTTGTTCAGCTGTTTTTTTGACGTGGGCTCTAGGACTTTGCTTGGAGTTGGCTCCTTTGGCTGGAGTCTTGTCTTGTAAAGACTGTACTCACGCCATATCATTGCACCGCAGTTCCCCTTGGTAAGTGCAAACAAGTCTAGGTTTTGTGATTCTTTCTTTAGTTTACTCTGTTTTTTAGTTTTTTAGTTTACTCATTTCCTTGCTTAGATAGTAATTTGTAAAAGTTACCTGCCGTTACTTAGTGCACCCTGAAGTGTCTAACTTAGTTATCCTAGAAACAGTAGCTGCCTATTTCACATTCACATTTTGACCGTTTAGGTGAAGCGTTAGTTAACTTAGGTAATTACAGTACGTACAACTTGGAAATGTCCCTGGCTGACTTGGGTAAGGACTTCGCTCCCTGGTAGGAGCAGAGGAAAGCAGGGGCTGCAAGAGCAGCCTCTGCTGGTGGTGTGATGCAGGGGTCCCCTTGTGTGACCCACTGAGGGAATGTAGATTTAGATTGTCTAGGGGCTCTTTTAATTAAGTCAGCTTACAAGTTCCTACTATCCTAAATCTCATGTTACAGTTGTCTAATTGAAAACTTTTATGTTTCAAAGCAGTGAAAGTAAATACTACAGTTCACAAATTTTGAAATGTAAACATTGCATAAAACATTTTTTGCTTCCAGTGCTGTTACCTGTCATTGATCAGCTGTTTGTTTATAGTTTATAGTGGTCTCATTCTTTTTTTTTTTTTTTAATGTTTTATTTATTTCTAGGAGAGAGAGAGCGTGAGCAGGGGAGGGTCAGAGAGAGAGGGAGTCACAGACTGAAACAGGCTCCAGGCTCTGAGCTGGCAGTCAGCACAGAGCCCGACGCGGGGCCCGAACCCACGAACCGCGAGACCATGACCCAAGCGAAAGTCGGATGCTTAACCAACTAAGCCACCCAGGCGCCCCTATAGTGGTCTCATTCTACTATGTGGCTTTGGTTTTGGTTTTTTTTTTTTCCTCTCCTGATCTCCATTGTATTTGAGGCATTAGTGGTTGTGAGTGCACACTTGTAGCCTGAGTGCCTGGTTTCCATGCCCTTATTGCCATTAACCCTGTGTGCCTCACTTTTGCCTGTCTGTAAAATGGGAATAATAATAAACTCCTAGAGTTGTTGTATTAAGTGAGTCAGTATGTTTAAATGCTTGTAGTATTGTAAATGCTTAGAGTAATAAGCACTTACAAATGTTAGCCTTTATTTTGCCATTGGTTTTCATGTACATGTACACATTACTGTTGGGTTAGTTTCTTGCTCCGCTAGGATTGAACTGTTAAGGGAACAGCAAGTCAAGGAGGGAAGTTAATGTTATTTATATTTCATTAATTTTAAAGCTAATTAGCTCTTAGACAATATAGCTGTGAGACAGAGAAGAGAACAAATAGTACATTTCCAGTTGTAAACTTTAATCATGCAAATTAAATATTAAATTTGTTTAAAGTTTACTCTCTAAAAGTTTTCCCCTTAACATAAGTATTTTCCCCCATAAAGACCTAGGATTAAAAATGAAGAGCAAGTTTTATTTGCAGATTTAAGGTTTAATTTCAAAATGGTTTACATGAATATCAAGAAGCTAATTAGCTTTTAAATGGGTTTTTCATTTTCAGCTTTAGGTGCAGATTATTGCCTCTTGCATTGAAAACTCCATGTGTCTCCTGTCCCTCATCTACCTGTACTCCTAATAAGTGTTCTGTGGAGGGGAAGTGGACATTGGAGGCTGGAGCTTACAGCTTCATTAGGGTCCTGCTGTTTGCAGTGTTTGGGGGCTTGGACCTTGGAGAGTTGAGCACCTTGATTCTCTTGGTGCAGTCTTATTAACAGTCACCTTGGCCTGTTGTGGAGGAGAGCCAGGAAGCACTCACTCAGCAAGCCCACGCCTGTTCAGAGGAAGACCGCACTGTAGGGGAGGGGTGCACGTGCAGGGAGGTGTGACCCCTGCCATTCTTGGGACACGCCGTCTTTGTGAGGGAATGTTGAGTTTCACAAACCGCTCCTCACAGGTCTGCTTTTTCACTTCTCTTTTAGGACTTTATGGACAGCAGCCTGCCAACCAGGTCATCATTCGGGAGCGGTACCGAGACGGCGACAGTGACCTGGCCCTGGGCATGCTGGCCGGAGCAGCCACTGGCATGGCCTTAGGGTCTCTGTTCTGGGTCTTCTAGAGTCCTCCACATCTGGGTGTGCATAGCTCCTGATGCTCTGTGTGCAATAATATGATTTGCAGGGCATTTATGTTGATGATAAATGTTTTTAATAATAGTTTTAATTGTTCTTTTGAAAGTGAGGACATCATAGTTACAACTAATCCATACACGTACTGTAGAGGAGGCTTCTGACTTATGTTTAGCTAAAACATGGTCTCTCTGGGGCACTGGCTCATTCCAGGAGTTTCTTTCTAGAACTCTTGGAATACCTTATTTTGGACATACCTGTTTAGAATGGCATTTTCTTTTCAGAGTTAGGTATAATGCTTAAGGGATAATTTAGTGCTGTGTTGATACAAGGTGTTGTATGGGTGAGTGAGTGATGTGGCAAGGAGGACTGTAGCTTCTTTCCTTTTAACATTGAACTTTGAAGCCTCGGATCCGAGCTGGCTGCATGTGACTTCAGGAGTTGTGGGCTGGCAAGCAACCAGGAACTTCCCTGAGGCACTGGGGTGGTATCCCCTGGACCTGGAGCCAGCAAGACTGACTGCTCAGGATGAAGGAGGAGGGTCAGCCCCCCTCCCCATCTCCTACCCCCCTCCTGCCTCCTCTTAAATGATGCTTCTTCATTTTATTCATTGTTTGTTTGGTGTAGTGATCCTTGGAAAATAATCCCACATTAGGCATTGACTTAAGTCTCAAAATTTTATCCTTTAAAATTTGAAGAGGACAAAAACAGTTTCAAGTATGTAAAGGTAGATTTGCTTTATTCAGAGACAACCTTATGTTTTTGTGTCTACTTTGAGTATTTTTATTGCTACAGTAGCCTACTTACAGCCTATTTTTTTACTTGTTGAGAAAGTGGTATTAAAAGAATGGTGAGGAACATGGAATTAGAGCCATAGTTACAGTGTCAGGCCTCCAGTGACAGGATTGCACTGTGAGGAGGATGCTCTTTGCCTCCTTCCTGTCCTTCTGAAGACCTGTTTTGTGCAGGACTGGGGCACTGTGACTCTCCCCCAAGCACTGGGGTTCGGGAAGTCCTGGTGGTGGCATAGAGGGGGCTCTTGGGACCATGGCTTTGGGGGAGACTCAGGTTATAGATCGGAGATGATGCCTAAAGACATGAATGACCTGCTGTCAAGACATTACCCAACTTAGCCAGGACACCAGCTTTGTTTTTATTCCTGATAATAGAAGCTTAAACCATGTAATTTTGTGCCTCAGCTATGTGTGAAGCTCTGGAAAACCCATAATCCTGCACTTCTGTTACTTCTTTATGTGAATTTGTAAAGCCCATAATTAGTCCAGTTTTTTGTCCTGCATGCTTTAAAAAATGCACTTCTACCAAGGCAGCTTAGCACAGTAACACTCCCTGCCCAGCACTCCGGCTACTCTTAGTAGCACAAACTTTTTATTTTCTGTGGCCAGTGACATACATAACTTGTTTCATGGGTCAACTGCCCTGTGTGTCTCTGAGCTGACTTAAATAGGTCTCCATGTGAAACCATCTGCTGAATGACCTTGATGGTGACCACAGTCAGGTCTATCTTCCTGGGCAGTTCTGCTGAACTCATTGACACTGTAGAGTCTGTTTCTAGTTGAAAGGAGGTGCACTTGACTGTCATCCCTTTGGATATTTGAGATGGTGGAAAATTGCCAGATGTGATGTGTGACATCTGGTTTTGATGTTTAAAAAAGTTGCTTTTAATGATTTTACATCCTGTGTAGTAAGAATGGCTTTGTTTAGATGATAGTCATTATTTAAGAGCCGTATGCTTTACTAACAAAACCATCAACAGTGTTTAATGTGACATTGGGGTATTAATTTTGAACTTGGACTTACTGGAACCACAGAGTACTGAGTTAGGTCACTGAAATGCCTGGGAAGCATAGTCCCCCTCTGACAGAAGGGGGAGATGTGAACTGAAGCTTGGGGACATGTGTGTGCACTCTGTTGGCCAGCCCGGTGGGTAGACATAGTTGAACTTGGAAATTCAGTGTTGGCAGTGACTTGATGCTGATAGGAAATGCATAGTATTATAAAGATGAGGTGAGATACTTCATTTCCTTGGTCTGATTTCTATAGATTCCAGCTTTGTGTTCACCTCAGTTTAGGTAATACTGAAGAAGTTAAGTGAGATGGAAGGAACTTGTTCAGGTGTGAGTAAGCGTTTCACTTTGATGTGTGGAAGAAGTTGGCCACTGATGTTGCACATGTGCCAAGCTGATTGTTTTTTAGTTACTGGAGTGAATTTCAGGGTCTTAGATTGTGAAGAGAAGGGAAGGACCAGTGGCTGTGTTTCAGATGATCTTCCTGAAACAGGCCAGACCAGGACCCAAGACCTGGATCATAAGGAGAAGTTCTGTGATTGAGACAAATGGCCCAAGTTTATTTTCTTTATAAGTTATGATCCTGTTTTGTTTTTCTTCCTCCTTTCCAAGTTTATGTAGATACAGACATAGAATGCACTTCCATTTTACCCCTAGAATTGATCTGTTTTCTGATTGCTTCCCTCTCATGTTTTCTCCTGTCCACAAAACCTATTTTTCCCTGTATAAGCAAATTGTATGTTTATAAGTGAAAATGTTAATACATTAAATGATTAACCTTAAAGCTGGTTGTATTGTGATTTCTATTTCTTTTTATTAAACTTATTTAAATAAAACCTAGCTTACCCATTTCTCCCACCATCCACCCCCACTTCTGGCAACCACCAATCCTTTTTTTTTTTTTTAATTATTTTATAGTAACACACTGTCGGTTTTTTCTGCGTCATGGGCAGTAAGAATGGCACTTACTAAGTGGGGCACCCAGGTGGTTCAGTTGGCTAAGTATCTGACTTCTGCTCAGGTCGTGATGTCACGGTTCAAGATTTTGAGCCCCACATTTGGCTCTGTACACACAGCTCAGAGCCTGGAGCCTGCTTCAGATTCTATGTCTCACTCTCAGCCCCTCCCTGCTCATGCTGTCTCTCAGAAATAAACATTAAAAAGAAATTAAAAATAAAAAAGAATGGTGCTTCCTGAGAATCCCCTGAGTGCTGGATACTGTATCATCGCATCAGAAAACAAAGGCTCACTAGATCCTTACAGTGACTCTATAAGGCACTGTTGTCTGGGTTCCACTGGGTGAAACGGGCTCAGAAATTACATATTTTTCTCAGGAGCACACAGGTGGTAAGTGAAAAGGTTTGTACCTGATATTAAGGCATGGTTTTTTCCCTGTGCCATGCCCTATAAAGGTGTAACTTCCTCAAGAACGTATGGATGGCATGTGTAGGGACACTTGTAAGAGGACTTAGAAAACCGACCACCCTGAACCAGAGCCACTTGGCAGTATCAATGCTGTAACTGCTCCAGTATCTTTGGTAGCATGACTTTGTGTTTTCTCTTGTTAAAAATTACTATTTTTTCTTTTTTCCCCCATCACCATCCCCAAATTAAATAATCTTTAGATCCTAAATTACCTTAGTTTCCTCTCGGCTAGTTTCTGGTTACCTCACCTATTGCAGACTTTTATTAAATGGTGATGTGTGGTTATGTGTTACACTTTAAGATGAAGAGGAGTATTTATACCAGAAGCCTTGAGTCTTTGGTTTCATTTCTTTAAAGAAAGAATCCTCCAGTATTTTGCTTGGATGTGAAGAAGGGTAGACACTCCACACACATACTGCAGCCCTTCCCCATTCCAGCTTGCCTTTGTCCTCTCCTGTCATGCTGACCCCTGCTGCCTCCAGCTGTATTAAAAAAACGGTTTTGAATAGGTTATAGATAACACACAGCTCCAAAATTGTTTTTAAAAACAGATTTAGTAATGGGTTATCCACCTGCCCATTTCCTACCCTTCATGTACCCTTCAGGCATATATACTCTAGTACACACATGTTCTTGGTTTTCTCCTCTCTTCACACACAGGTTGGTAGATCCTTTTACACTATTAAATTCTCGAGGCCTCCAAAGAACTTTTAAAGGTGAGTTATATTTATCAATATTTTCCACATGAAATAAAATTGAGACACTATTATATAGTGACATTTTATTTTATTTTATTTTTTATTTCCAGGAGAGAGAGAGAGAGAGACAGCGTGAACAGGGGAAGGTCAGAGAGAGAGGGAAACACAGACTCTGAAACAGGCTCCAGGCTCTGAGCTGGCAGTCAGCACAGAGCCCGACGCGGGGCTCGAACCCACGAACCGCGAGATCATGACCTAAGCGAAAGTCGGACGCTTAACCGACTAAGCCACCCAGGCGCCCCTATATAGTGACATTTTAAACAGAATTTATAAAATATATTTTCCAAAACAAAATCTGAGGCAAAGTATTTTCACATCTGAAGAAATTTCTTCAGTATCTGGTTTAACAGAAACCAGCTGGCCTCTCCTCTCTGCCAGGGGCACCTCCCTTCCAACCTCGCTGTGCCTACTGACATCCCAGGGAGCTTTTCTACCCCTTCCAGGTGAAAGCTGAGGAAGAGAGTGACACAGTGGGAGGCAGGCGTTTGGTAAGGGCTTTGCTCGGCTCTCTGGCTGTCCCTCTGCCTGGCCAGTGGTAAATCAAGTCAAAGGCACCTCCCCTGAGCCATCGTCATCCAGATGCTATTCCTTATGCAGGGTCATTCCCCCAGTGGGCAGTGAACCTTGGGCTCCTGAGCGGCCAACCAGGCAGGTCCCCGCCTGGTTCTTTCGGTGACTGTCAGAGGCCAAGTGAGCATGTCATGGGCACAGAGAGTGTGTGCCAAGTACAGTGGGAGGCTGAAGACTTGGGTCCAGGTGGGGAGGTGTCGCGGGCATGGTGCCTGTGGAACTGTTCATCCCAGTTTGTAGGAGCAACCTCATGCCAAGATGGGGGTGACAGGTACAAGGCAGGCTATGCTGCTCAGCAGATGTTCAGGAAGGACGGTGGGAAGGGCTCTGGGACCAGCGCTATGAGAACAGCACAGCCCCCAAGTCTTGGTATAATAATGACAGAACCAGCCCACAGGCGCTCAGCAGGAGCACAGATGTTCCTTCTCTTCCACTCCATTCCTTTCCTAGACCAGCGGTTCTGTGAGTGTGGTCCCAGACCACCAGCAGCCCCCTCCCACAGGAAATGCACACTCTGGGGGTGCCTGGGTGGCTCAGTCAGTTAAGCATCTGACTCTGGATTTTGGCTCAGGTCATGATCTCATGGTTCGTGAGTTCAAGCCCCGCACTAGAATCTGCACTGCCAACATGGGGCCTGTTTGGGATTTGGATTTGGTCTCACTCTCTCTGCCCACTCGTACTCATGCTCTCTCAAAATAAATAAACTTAAAAAAATAAAATAAATGCAGACTCTGGCTCAGCCCAGACCTGAATCAGCAGCTCAGCCCTCCAGTTGGTTCCACTGCAAGTTCAAGTCTTGAGAACCACTGGCCTAAAATAGACTTCTTCCTCCCACCCTCTCTCACCCTCTCCCACCCACTCTCCCCTTCCTTCTTTCTGTCCTTCCATCCTTAACTTCCCTCTGACAGGTCTGGCCGGTTTGGGAAAGGACACCAAGAAGGCGAGTCTGATGGGTCAGGAAAAAGACACCAAGATGGCGGATCGGACTCCATCTTATGACTGCCTCAGGACTTTCCCGACACCAGCTTCCGCTCCCAGTTTCCCGCCACTGGTTTCTCAGAAGACACGTCACCTTAGCAGAAACGAGACCCAACCCAGGAAAAGCGAGACCAAATAAGGAAACCTGTCCTCGTGGGTCTCGACCCCGAACTACAGTGCTATATATACCCCTCTCCCCAGTCTCGGGGTACGACTTCCCCGGCTTGCGTCTACCCCCAAGCCGCGGAACCTCGCCGAGAACCCTTTACAATAAAGGTGCGCTCAGTACTTTCCCCTTGGCTCCTTTGTCACATTTTCCAGCGTCTTTGGTTCACCACCCTCTGTTATTTCAATCTTAACACCCTCCATCTCTCCCACCCCACCCCCTTCTTCCTCTTTCTCTGCCCCCTGTCCCACTTTCCTGCTGGGGAGCAGCCACACTTCCTCCCTGCAGCAGCTGGTTCTGAGAATCACCACTGGGTGTCATAGCAGCCCCAGGAATGTCTCTGCAGTCAACCCCCTCCCAGGCTTGCCCCTGTCTTCCAGGGCTCCCACACTCAGCCCCGAAAAGAAGACATGCTTGGATCAGAAGGTGGGTCTGACTGCAGACACAGCCCCTGCACCCATGCTCCTGCTCCCAGCTCACTCTACTGGACTGAGGCCAGTGCTCCATGCTCCCCTGTCTTCTGTCTCCAGTGTTTCAGGGCTGAGGAGGCCTTAGACACCGTCCCTAGAGGAGAAGGGGCTTGCTGAATGCCAGTCACCCAAGACTGTCTGGGTAGAGGGTGTTTCCCTGTCCTTTCCTAACTCTTCAGGGTGAGCCACATGGGCATCGTGGAGGTGCATCTGGTAGTGTCTGTGTGACAAGGATGAGGGCAGCCCCCAGTACCATGAAGGCTGTCATGAACGTGTAAGGTTCATGCCCAAGCCTCACTCCTCCCCAGGAGCATCTCACATGCTGGCCCTCCCTCCACAGAGCTTCTGCAAACTCCAAGCTTTGAGTCCATCTGTGAGCCCTGGCCTGGGCCTCCCAGGCCCCTGAGGACCCTCCATACAGGTCTAGTCTACACAGTTAGGCCTCCCTTCCCGGCCTGTCCTGCCACACTGTAGGCCCTGTCTCGGCCCCTGTCCAGCCTTGTGGCTGCAGCTCCCTCCACATGAAAGGGCAGTGTGCCTCTTCCTGAATGCCCACCCCAGGTTTTGCCCACAGTCCCTGCCAGACCCACTCAAATCTTTCCCTCCAGAGTACTCAAGGCCAGAGTACACACTGGGGTCTGCTCAGTGCTAGGCACTGGGGCATGAGACTAGATAGACTAGGTTGTTGCCTTGTGGAGCCACCACCCCAACTTAGTGGGTGCTGCAGAGTGCAGTTGGGCTGGTTTCCAGACTATGGCGGAGCCATGAGTGGCCTTAGGCAGAGTGGCTATGGGGACAGAGAACTCGGAGAAGAGCTGGGAGGTGTTGGCAGCTGTGTGGTGGGAAGCCAAGCCTTGGGATACTTGGAGATGTGTTGTCAAGTGATCCTTGATAGGACTTGCTGAGGATCGGAGGATGGAGGGGTGATTCCTGACCAGGATCCTGGGCCTCATCCTGGGGGCCTCTGGGTGGGGCTGGGGCAGAGACTTTGGGAGTGCTGTGTGAAGGGCGAGATTTCTCCTGAATGTCCTGGTGGGAACATCTGGAGGGCAGGACTGAGGCCCAGGCACAAGGATGGTATTTAAGGCCCGGAGCTGGTAATCAGGGGCAGAGGCAGTCTCAGGACAGACCTGCCAGGATGTGAGGGAGCCACAGGGCAGGAGGGCATGGGGGGGGGGGGAGTTGGAGTGGAGAGAGCTTGGCTGGAGAGGGTGCAGTCAGCAAGAGAGTGAGTGGGGTGGGCCAGAGAGAGAAGGAGAGAGAATCCCAAGCAGCTTCCACTCTGTCAGCTCAGAGCCCCATGCAGGGTGAGATCATGACCTGAACTGAAATCCAGAATTGGACGCTCAACTGCCTGAGCCATCCAGGTGCCCGGTCTCCTACACCTCTTGATGTGTTCTTTTTGAGGAGGGAGCATAAGACAAGCTGACAGG